ACCCTAAACTCATGGCCAGATAATAATTGATATACGAATAAATAAACATGAATGTAGACTATTCTTCTGACGACTCTTCAAAGAAAAATCCTCTATGCAAAATTAGACGCTCCGCTTAAGTTAGCTGGTGGAAAATAAAGACATAATATCACTGATGATCATCATATCGGATTTGGATTTGCAGATAATTGGCGTAGTGCACAAATACATCAGAAGAATGCATTAATTGTATCTAAAACAATTCGCCATGTCACCTAAATTTTGTGATGTTTTTTATGTAATAGTCTTTTGCGAGTTCAGACATAGAACAGCTAAAAACGTTGTTTATCGTGACTAAACACAAAGGACCAATTATAATTTGTGACAGTTCGGAACGGAGTGTTTACATTTTAGTAAGGATGTCGCTATGTGACTCATTTCTATCATCTCGGTTGATCTGATACCGCTAAAATTTATAGATGATCTTATTCTCAATTTTTTGAAGTTCCTGATAAAGAAGCTGAAGTTCTTGTGTTAAACTTACTCAAATGTATTGACTTTTTGAGATTCGTTTGGATTTCCAGTATGTGGGCATAATGGGTCCTGCACATTATTATCGGACGCTTATTTTCTGCTTTCAATTGAGGCTTTCATCGAAATACTCTAGACTTTTTGAGCAAACTTTTATTCTTCCTTTAGACCTGGTTTTATATGCTGTTACTGAGATTTATGTACATTCATCAGAATACTTCAATTTCTTGATTCATTATGATGTTATATTGTCTTCGTATTCGTTTTCTTCTTGTTTTCAGTGGAGAGATCTTTAAGGTTATAAAGAGATCTGTGTGTGTGATATTAACCTTTTTCGTTGAATGAATAGAGAGTGTCGTTTTAAACTCGGAACTTAAGTTTTGTCACTTTTTTGTTTGGTTTGATGGATTTTGGTCCACATTGTATAATCCTTGTTCTTCCTTGTGGTATACATTTGTCACTGTTGATTGGTTTACCATCTCAATAACTTAGTGAAACTGGCTCATTTACGTCAACTTTATGTCTTTCCAAATCTAAAGTAACTTTTCGCGGGATAATGGATCTTATGCAGTTATTATAGAGACTGTTGTGAGGAAATCGTTAAGGTTATCGTCACAACACAAAGTATGAATGTGACACTTATCTTTATGTATATAAGTAATGTTTAACAGTATTAGGGAGTGGAATGTCTGCGAGCATAAGATTTATAAGATTGAAATGATGAGAAGAGGAAAGGAATCAGATGGCAATAAAGATAACAACAGAAATGAAGTAGCAATGAAGTTTGTAAGAGAAAATCCAAAGTGTATATACAAAATGACCTAGGGGTATATTACTCAGGCAGTCCTAACTTCTCAGAACATATCTCAACTAAAGGATCTGAAATTAGGAGATTGCTTGGCTTCATTCTTCGTAATTTCTTTCAAAACGAAACTAAAATCATTCTTTATAAAGTATGCGTAAGACCCATCATCGAATACTGCTCGTTCTTATTTTTCAACCTACACCTACTCGACATACTTATTTTGGAAGGAATACAGCGAGACTTCACTCTCAAAATACTTAAGAACGACCAACTCATTGACTAATGCCATATCTTAGGACTAGAACCCCTCTGGAAAAGAAGGCTTAGGTTTAACTCGATTCTCAGTCTCAAACACCTTAAAAACCTTACTTATTCCACAAGGAAAATAGTTCTCTCTCAAGACTCACGTGGATACAACCTTCGAGACAAAATTTCCACAGTTAAACTTGGAAATACGGATCAAAAACTAGGGAAAACTTCTTCCTCATCAAGTATGCATTAATATGTAACAGTCTTCCTCCTGAAATACGCATGGCAGATAAATTACTACATTTGTAAGAATTATCGACCAAGCCCTCACCTGCAGAGATCTGGAGCAAAAGAACACGTCTGCGTCCCACACAGACATCATAGACTCTCTACATCTATAAACTAAAATGCATTACTTCCCTAATTTGTAGTTGTATTAATAATTTTCCCTCCTAATTTTTTTCAAAATTGAAGTAGACAGGCGACTCACTGGACCAATCAATACTCGGTCGCCAAACGACTCTTGCAAATACCCTAAAAAGTCAAAAGAAACGTACAATCAACTGCCTATCATCAGTGATCGTACATCTATAGAACCTGTTACACATCAACCGGTTAGGATAGGACAAAAGAACATCAGTACGAATTTAATGTGAGTCCCTTCTTGTCTATTCTCCATCAGCTTTTTACTCCTCTGTACACTATATTTCCTTGCCATTAATATTATTTCACCACTCGTTATCTTACCTTATCTGTAACAAATATATATATCTGCACTTTTCCGCCTACTTTGGCAAGCAACTATCCTACATTATACCCTACCTAATGCCTATACTGTGATTGCCAACCTATACTTCACACCGTAGTCAATTGAATCATTGCATCGAAGCCTTACCCACAATCCATCGTCCTCATTCCAACCTTGACTTCCCTTCCTCCTTTCGAACACTCTCCCCCTTGATAAGTAACATAACTCATTGTTCTTTATTACTGCATTCTCTCATCTGGAGCATCTGATCACATTTCACTCTAGCAACATGAGCTAGTACCAATTTAATCTAATAATTTATCGTACCTCCGTCTGTTCCAGTACTGAATGTTAAGCACTGTTTATCGTTCATATCCGTTCATATCGGTTTTTTACTTCTCCTCTTTTTCTTTTCAGAATCATGCTCTGAAGGCGAAGTTGAAGAACTCCTGACATCTGGAACAAACTCGACGTAGGCGCCTTCACAAAGTCATAGTTCGCATCATGCGCTCCTGAAGTTTACTTTATAACAACTATAAACTTAAAAAGTTGTATTACGTAAATACTTAGCACGACCAAAATCCTAATACATTTTTTGCCGAGATTGGATCTGGTGTGTAAGGTGGACGCGATACCCCTTTATATATATTTCAAACGAATGAACCGCTATTAACTTTTATGGATTATATTTACTAAACAACCCTGCTAGGGATGGACACTGTGAACTAGCGTATAACGAATCAACGGCAAAAGTATGCCTGCGCTCTCGAAAAGCTGCCTGGGTATTCCATAACTGCTTTTCGTGAGGTTGTCCTGAATGCAAATGTAACTTACGTCTATGATCTTCTCGAGGAGACGACCCTTAGATATTTCCACCCTTCGAGGGAAGAACGGCTGAGAAATGCTAAACCGAGCCATTACCCCTCGCGCCTGCAATCTCCTGCAGGACCCATGGCAGCCGATTCCGAAATCGTTAAAAAATTATGGCTCGAATCTCTACCAACTTTTATACAGCCAACGATTACAGATCTGCTCGAGGACACTTCACTTAACCAAGTGGCACTCATAGCAGATAAGATATTGGCAAGGACTAGCACCCGAGACAACTATATATACAACTATATATATATTTGCCTCAACATCACGTTCGAAGATCGATCTCGTCGCTAGTCAACCTACGGCTCATGGTGGTAGGGATAACTGCATTCATACTCGTCTCAGTTCTCGAGACCGATCTAACATTCCGGAACCTGAAGTTCCCCGAGCCAGGTCACGCTCCCGTAAAGCCGTAACAACTCACCCTAGGCGGACATCTTCCAATCCACGCAAAAGACGGTTTCGGAAGCGAGTTTTGGTTGGTGCTGGTTCCACTGTGCCTTCGGGTCCAGCGCCCGCTGTTGTCGAGTTCCCTGCTCGTACAATGCGGAAAATTCCCGACTCGGCGTGTAAATGCGGCCGTACTCGCCGGCCCTTCCCCTCAGGTTGGTCGTTTATTTTGTGTGTACGATTATCGCACTAACTCTAGGTCCCTAGTGGATACAGGTGCCCAAATTTCTGTCGTTCCTATTGGTAACAGTAAGTCTCAAGCTACGATGCTTCGACTGTGCGCTGTGAATGGTTTAGTCATTCCCACCTATGGTACACGACAGCTGACAGTCAGCCTGGGCAACGTTTATCATTGCCTATGTTCCAACAGCCAGACGCGAAACTGATTTTCTACAGCACTGTGAATTGCTAGTCGATTCACGTAGGCTGCAGGTAATCGATACTTCGTCGAACAGTAAGTTCATGGACGTCAAAGTTCAGAGAGTTAGTTTATGTTCCGTCTCAAAGATGTAGTTAGTAACCCGTGCTATTTCACTGCCAGTACAATCTTAGTACGTTAGGAAATTATGAAGTGATCATTTCATTTCAGTACCAGGTCAAATTTTTAATGGAGTATTGTTGAGCCGAGTGAAAGATCAGCTTGGTGTGCAGCCGTGGGATCAGTAATCTGGATCGACCAAGTACCCACAGAATCTCTATACCACGGACCAATGTTGAGCACTCAGTTAAATGGAATGCTTTTTTCATAACAAACTCTTCGGTTGTGAGAAAGAATTCAGTGAAGTGTACATATAACCCTTGTCAAATTTTCTACAATAAAAATTTTCTGAAATCTTCGCCGTCCCACGTAACCCACACTTTAGATTTACTCCTGCAATCACGTATGCAGCTACAAACAGAGACTCCAAAGAAATCAGCAGAAGCCGATTAAAACGTCCGACAATTGATGGCCTTCGCAACATAAACCGTGAGCTGTATAATCGAATACACTGATCTCATCCCTTGAGTCTTTCAATTGATAATAAAGGGTTGATTGTTCTTATGAAGCGCACTCTAATGGCTTCAAAAGTGATTTGTCCGAAGAAACTACTAGATCAAACGCATTTTAGCTTTATACTGTAAAACACGGCACCACATTTCCCTTTTATTGCATCACTACTACTATTGCTGTTCACCACATGAACAACCATGCCAGTATTAACGTAATAATAATCTAGTTCATTGTAATCAGCTACCGAATAAATTAGAAAACAAAGTCATGGCTATCATAGAACACAAATAAATAATAGTTCAGAGTGAAAGAATTGTTGTTTCTTCAACTTGCAACTTAATGAGTAAGTTTGTTTAAATATACCACTGAATTTCAAAGAGTTAATTAAGGGGGTCACGAACGCATTGCGCGAACTATGTCAACTCTTGGAAGGAGAGCAAGTGTTGCTCGGTATAATAGAGACTCATTGATATCTGATGACTTGATACAATCAATAAACCCTGAGGTATACCAACGTAAATATGTTTTCGAAGTTGCTTGGGAGGTGGTCAATAAAGGTCAGAGTTTTATCTATATTAGTCTTTTCATTTTATTTTTAACTTCATCAAAATGACTTCATTGTGTATCACTTATTTCTTCTAGTTGGTGGTATATATACTGTCATCCGTACTAAGGCCGCCTCTGCTGTGGAGGAGTTGGGCGACCGTTATATTTTATTTGGCCCACTCAATGAAGTGTGCATGAGAACTGAAGTAGACGTTGCAGAGCCAACAAATGAGGCATTAAAACGCACAATCAAAGCCATGCGTGAGCATGGCACAAAAGTGAGTATAGATTAGTGTGATCTGTCTGCTGTTCGAGACAAAATTATTCGTATATTTTAGTTGTCTGCTGGTTATGCTCGTTCTCTTGAGTTAGCTCCATATAATTGGCGTCTGTGACTTAAAGCTATCACATTCTTAAGTTCTCACAATAAAAATAAATTTCTGTTTAGTACCGATGTAGCTGGTGCTCTTGTAAGTTATAATCCTGTGGTACCAGTTGTGTCGCCTAAAGAAGTACGAAGCTTATCATTATCCAAGTTTCTCTAAATATGAAACGCAGTGAAACTATAATTTACGGACGATCTATGAGAGATGCAAGAAAGACCTTGAGAATGTCCACCTACATACTGCAACTAAATGAGGGTTGTAAACAAGTGTGAGGAATGAGGTTTAATATTTACAGTTATCTCGTCATCATTGGTAATTCAAGTTGAAATGTTGAAATTATTTCTCACTCACCATTCTATTCATAACTATAGCCTTAGTAACTAGTTTGCCTTGTAGTATTTAATTTACCATAGGATTAATATGTTTGTTAGTCTATTTGTAACAGGTAATAGTTTGGAGAGTTATATTTACTTGGTTTTAAATTTTAAATTTCTTCAAAAGTATTTATGTGTAATTGTGTAATTTTCCCTAACCACTTCGATTTTATTGTTCAGATAAGTTATACTTCTTAAGCTGTAAATAATTTCTCATAGTTAGTAGTCTATGTATTACCTTGTAAAGTTTAATCGACTCCACCAGTGGGTTCTGAACCCTAGCGGACGTGAAATCTTGTCACGGGTTCATTTTACAAACTAGTTTTTCAAATTCTTGCTGTATTTGAGTGATTCTCATTGATTTTCTCAGAGTAGAAAAACCACTTATTTGTGTTAACGCCCTTAATGTTCCTCATAAATATTCAAACAGTTTCATGAAGCAATGAGTCCCCTTTTAAGGGGAACAACTTTTTTGGTGTATTAGCCACTCCACACTTGAAAACCAATTTTAACAATAGTTATGACAATAATCTTGTATTTCTTCTATATTTCAATTCAATGTTTACCCATTGTTTATAGGTCGTTTTTGGTCGATGGCTAATTGAAGGTTATCCAAACGTTGTTCTGTTCGACATAGGATCATCTGCTTGGCGCATCGATTCTTGGAAAAAAGAACTGTGGGAATCTTGTAATATTGGGATTCCGGTCCATGATACTGAGTGTAATGATGCAGTCATTTTTGGAGCGCTTATTGCCTGGTTTCTGAAAGAAGTTAGTGAATTTATATTAGATTGAAGTTCATTATATGTGGTTGTTTTCACGGTATCGATAAAAAATTTGGAAATTTTATTTATGTACGTTGATACAAATGTGTGATTCTACACAAACGAATTGATGCTACTAATTAGGTCCAGATGAAGCTTATTTTACATAAAAAGTGTTGTCACTGAGCGATATTTGTTGGAAGATAGCTGGAGACATCCAAACCAAACGTGACATCAGTCCATGAAGTCATTGACTCTTGAACTAAGACGTGTCGGAAATCGCAGGTTATTTAGTTGAGGTTTGCACATGTGTCGTAGACAGTCATTGGTAATGTTTCGTGGCATGGTTCAAAAATGACTACAATGACATAAATATATCCACTCTTTACTTCCCTTTAAATCATAGGTTCAGAAATTATTCCATATCCTTTTACTTTGCGAATTTATTTACTCACCTCGGACTAAACTTTCTGCGTCTAGTGTTGTTTTACTGTCACCGATAAAAATTCTATTTTGGTTTTCTCCGTGATAGTTTCGTATCTTTGGGCTGATTTGATATGCCAACCTTGACTGATTCATGTAAATGCAGGTTGTACGTTACAAATGACTGGCTAAGAACGTTTAGCAGGTACTTATAAATAATCACAGCCCGAATGTGATAAAAATGGTAACAATTCTTTTATTCGCCGAGTTTAAAGTGATTTATTAATTGGTGATTCTTACCACAATTTTTGAAGTTTACCCATCTTTCTATCGATCAGAGTACTATTAATTGGCTTATATTATTACCTAACATGCTTGTAGATGCATATTTCTGAAATTAGATGAGTTGACTAAATGACACTGAAATCTGTCTCAGGTTTAGAATCTTGCAACTAACTTTCTAGTAAGAAAATCTGAACACATTAGAAATAAACATTGTTTCACGGGTCATTATACATCGTGAAAAATGGAAATAATTTAAATAGTGACTTTTATGGATTGTATAAAGCTAATCAGCAGTTCTTCATGAAATACCGAAAACGATTTAACGATATTTGTTTCTTTTCGTAAGGTGTTTATTGTTAAGGCTTTTTGATTAGTTTGCGAAATTCCTATTTATTGTTCTAAAATTGACGTATATATGAATGTCATGCACTAATCCTAATGATAGATTGGGTTCTTTTAGCTTAATAAACGACGTTGCCGTCCGATAACCTACATTCCACAGTCTTATTTTATAGAAATGTTTGAAAAGTCTTTAATTAATCTATGTTTTGTTTTACAAAACTAATCAAATCGTGTGACGATAATTTAAATAAGCTTTACCAAATCATTAGTTAGTCGATTAAGCATTCGTTCATCAGATGTTCTGTTGGTACAGCAAAGAGGAGTTGGCGAATATTCATCACATCGGTCACTTTTTTCATGTATTTAGAGTTAGTTCATTGTCCACACAGCACTAGGCCGATGTTTTAAGACGTATAACGTGACTCGTTTTTGGATATTGTGGCTTCCAAACAGTTAAAATGAATGACTTCATAAAGTTGAGTTAGTAATTACAGAAGAACATTATTTAGTAATTTACTGAAGTACAGTGCAAAATCAAACCTAAATAATCATATTGTTGAATATCATACTGACTGTGGTCTTGATATGGTTTCAATATCAGATCAATCTGTACAGTGCCCAAAACTAATAAGATCAATGGTAGTGATCTTAACGAATGAAGTATTTCAACCAAAAATAATGACAGGGTTCTTCTCAAAAAGATACTAATGACTTAAAGAATAGCCATGACGTCTCATGATAGGAAACCGGATATTACTGCAGTGATTGGGTCGAAAAATCTGATGTTTCGCATCTCTTGTGCTATAGCTATTAATGAATAGTAAACTACATGTTTGTTATATTCATAGTATTTGTTGGAAACTTAAATCTGTCTAATTCACCTTTAGTATTTGTTTTTGGTGATATTTACGAATATCCACTTAATTTGTAATCAAATGAATATGTCTTCGTTTTGCATTGTAGCTTAGGTTAACAAAGCCGATTCATCTGGCTTGCCATGAATTCTGAGTAATTGTGATTTAATTTTTGTTTTTTTAGTTTGCTGAGAATGTCAGAGAACTAGAAACTGACCCTCAACCACCAATCATTGCACACTTTCATGAATGGCTTACAAGCATTGGTTTAGTATTTACGCGTACTCGTCACCTTCCCGTTGCTACTGTGTTCACTACACATGCAACACTTTTGGGTCGTTATTTGTGTGCTTCCTCTGTTGATTTATATAACCATCTTTCGGATTTTGATCTAGATAAGGTTTGTTCTTGTTTTTCATATATTGTTTAACCACCAAATGGTTCATTCTAATGTTCATATTCATCAATAAAAAATAAAAGGATAATATCGTGCAATCTTATGATTCTCTGCTGTTCTGGTTTTCTCTATAAGAGGATTAACTTAAAGCAACTGAAAGAGATAGTCAAACTAACACTTCGGTCTATGTGATACCAAACTGTTATTGCTTGTTAAAGATATGCGGATCTGGCAGTCAAGTGTAACATATTTTTTAGAAACTGAAGGCAAAGAATTTAAAATGGTAACGATATCATGTTCGAGATGTGGAACTCTTGTCCCAGTATGATTATGAATACTACGGTTACATTGAGCATATTATCCCACAACTGAGTGGTTGGACCAATAAAATATTGCTTGGTGGATGCTTTCAAACTGTGAATCATGCCCGGTGACTCAAGTACCTTACAAGATAATTAGACATATACATATTGTAGGAAAAAAAATCACTTAATTATACGAGTTGGCGATTCAAATTTAAGCATATAAATTCTAGTACAATAATTTAAAACTATGTGAACAGCTACAATAAATTATCTATCTCTCGGTCTTAAAAATGGAACCAAGTTATTGTAACTCTATGTGTGTTTTATAGTAACTTCAATCTTAAATATCTTCTTGATCAACAAAAATATTTCGTAATTTTAAGTCATACTTACATAGGTAAAACGTTTTTACAGAAGAGATTGAGAATGCAGCTCTGCCACCAAACACTAGAAAAATTGATGTTTATGAACCATCAGACATTTTTCCTAGGTCAGCATTTAAGAAAACTTAGCTAAAGTAATTTTCAAATCATGTAGTATTCCTTCATTTTTCTTAAATACCAAAAAAAACTATAGGCCTCTACCTCTTTCATTGTTATAGTGATCCTTTGTTATAGTTCAGCACTTTTTATATGGTGAAACAGTATGTTATGTTGATTATTATAGTTGAATGCCAGGGGCTAATAACCAAGTTTTTCATCACGTTACTTGCTATCTAGATCTTTTTAAGATTGCGTTTCTGAGATGACGAAATGAAATTGTCTTTACAAATCTTCCTATATATCAAATATAATTTGAAATTTTTGACCAGCACTTTTTCAACTTTCCTCAAGGTCAAACTGTCCGTAAAATACCATTAAAATCAGTATAAATCGGATAGACGGACATAAACAACCTCTCACAAATGTCAATCGATCCAAGTTACTACACGTTGCATCCACATGTCTAGATGAAATTAGCCAGCGAAAAGAAACAAATCACTAGAAATAATAATACCGAGAATAGTGAATAACTTCTGTGGGAAAACAAATAATTAACCAATGAAATCGAAGAACGGAAGGTATATGGTGATGCAGTATTCATAACTTTGGGGAAACTTAATAGATTTGTACATATGGACACGTCCAACTAATTCTGAGCTATATCTCTTTAGCGTTTCATGGACCCTAAAAAGTAAACGTCTTTATTGAACTCAGATCATTAACCAAAAACTTCATAGACTTTTGACGTACGTTGTGTTGTTCTATATTTCTCTTCTATCCCAACTACCAAAGTCTAGCATAACAGAAAACTGTAGAGATGTGTTATAAAATTCATAAGCTCTTCTAAAGACGTGCTAAATTCAACCAGAAGTCTGCTGCAAACATGTGTATTTCTCAATGCTGCCACCATACCCAAGCAATCTGCCAAGACTATCTATGTTCCAAATATTTTTAACTTGTCCCTGTACGCTACTTGTGAAAGCCACATTTCGATTTTTGTAAGCAAATCTAGAGTAAAATAATGCTCAGAGAAGTTAGGCTTCAAAAACCAGACGAACGTATCATCTTCACTACAGATGGAATAAATTAGCAATCTATGGGGGTTCTTTCTTTAGCTCCAAAGTTTCTTATCTATAAGTTTGATGTAAATGTTACGGTCTCGAACATTAAACTTCTTAACTATTTAATTGTTAAGTGTGACTTCACATTTAATATGAGAGACTTCTCTCATACTTTGTCATTCAAGGCTTTTAGAACATTGAATTTTATGAGAATTTTAATCAGACACAACTGTATTATCTGCCTGCTCCGAGACTTTGGTAGTCTTCAAATATGAGAGCTATCATTGAAAAATCACTTGAAGAAAAAGCTATTTCTAAGAGAATATTTATAGGGATATCATAAAAAACATTGTTGATGCGCTTTTTGTATTCCCAATTAATATTTTAATCCGTCGTAAACAATGACGTGACGACTTGTATTCCCGCAAACACCTTGTGGTGCAGTGTTCTAGTCCATCAGCGTACTTTTCAGTTACAGACTGCTGTGTATCATTTTTCTAAACACCTAATATTAATGGAACTATGGAATCAAGTATTGAATACAGCTTTTGTATAACGCCACACTTTCCAGTAGCATGTACAGATGAAGTCAACAATAGTAAGAAAATGACACAAAATAAATATATAGGATAAGTAAAGATGACAGATGATTTTTAACAGAATGTCAAAAATTTGAAAAGTAGGAATTTTTGTAAACTATTCATAATCAGTTGTTTTTATTCTTACAGGAGGCTGGCGATCGAAATATTTACCATCGTTATTGCCTTGAACGTGCAGCCGTTCATTGTGCACATGTATTTACTACTGTGAGTAAAATTACTGGTTTGGAAAGTAAATTTCTTTTGCGAAGAGAACCAGACATCATCACTCCAAATGGTCTTAATGTTGTTAAATTTGCTGCACTTCATGAATTTCAAAATCGTCATGCGTTGGCTAAAGAAAAACTGAATCAATTTATTCAAGGACATTTTTATGGGTTAGTTGAAGTTATTCATAATTGGTAAATAAGCTTTGTTGATTTTCAAAGATTTTTTTTACCAAATCATAATATTTGTTTTTCAGACATTATGATTTTGATTTGGACAAAACATTGTATTTTTTCATTGCTGGACGTTACGAATTTCAGAATAAAGGAGCTGATATATTTATCGAGGCGCTGGCTCGTCTTAACCATCATTTAAAAGTATGCGATTACTGTTGATATTAAAGTTATACATTTTATCCATAATGAAGATTTTTGTTTTAACTCATCATTTTTTTGTTACTAATCAGTTTATTCAATTTAGTTGCAATAATAACAATTCCAAGCGATTTATAATTTTATAACGTACGGCCTAATGGACATTTTCAACCTCTGCATGACATAGAGTTTAGATTTATTCTAAAGCAATCTAAAATTCATGTGTGTTTATAAACATGGCAATTTCGTTTCCTGAACTCACTCACCAAAGATGATAATTTACATTGTCATTGAATGTTTCTAATTGTCTACTTCAAAACAAGAAAAAGATCAGAATATTTATCATTTTAAATGCCCAATGTTGGTAAGCTTTCTATCTTTGAATGGCGATAAAACGAATCAAAAGATAATGTGCAGTAAGCTTATTGGTTTTAGAAACAGGTATAAAAATTACGATTTATCCTGAACAATTCGAGGAAATTTTCTAGAGCATTCACTACCAAGATTTAATTAACTTTTGGGTCCGTTAGTGAATGATCTTTTTCTTGAATCGTTTTCCTGAAAACAGCTTGGGATTATCTGGCTAACTGTCGCCAAGTCACGTTTTCCTACTCCTTATTATGTTTTCTACTTATCTCCAGACCCATATTTTATTTATGCAGTAAAAAATAGTGGTGTTATTATTCTTATTCATAATTTTTCTATCTAATAAGCCTCTCTTTTTACAATCATGAAGTCTCAAATTGGGGATTTGCGGGGATTTTAGTAACTTTATTAGTTGAATTTATGAGCCGATATAAGCTGGAAGCACTGGACGACCGACTCTTTCCAGTATGGGACTCTTCAGTGGTCTAGAGGTTAGGCGTGCGCGTGCGAAGTCGAAGGTCTTGGGTTTGAGTCCTTTTTGCGATATCGTGGGTAGGCACTGAGGAGGAGTCTCATACTAGGACGGAAAGGCCGTCTGGTGCTTCCAGGTTTTCAGTGGTGGTCTAGCTTAGATCGACTCATGAATACAAATACTATAATCATGTATTCGCCATAACATTTTGCACAACAACATATCAGTCCAGATCTTTATGCAACTTTTTGAGGATAAATATTGGAATAGAAGGGCATGAACAGTTTTCTAACATTAGTCAGTTACTCATAGACCTAATATGAATGTGTATTGAATCAATTTGCGACATCTCATCGGGATAGTGATAGTAGAAATTAACAACACCAGAAGAAAAAAAGTGGATGATATTAGCTGCAAGAGGAGTCTAAACATAAGTAGAATCGTTCAGCAGGAGTCAATAAAATGATAGCAGTACGAGAACAACAATTTGAACTTAACGTCTGAACACAAACATGCTATTGTGATTGATTGACCACGTGTTTGGGGAACTAATAAGTTGGTGTGTCACGGGTAATCCGAAGATATTCGATCAAGAATAAAAAATCAATTTACTTTTTTATTTCATTAATATAAAGCATTAGGGTTTTATTTATAATGCTCTGGTGCCGAGACTTAAAGTTTATATTTTTCAGAAATACATGTGTTGTCGAGACATTTGTTCTAATACAGATTAATGGTAGACATTAATGTTAGACATGATAACTTGAGATGGATACAAATAACACATTCCGAGCCATATTAATTCTGAGGAATCAAAATCTCTACGAAAGCTTATATATTTCGTAAATTCATGTATTTGAAGGTATTAAGTACGTGTAAATTTTTCCACTCTTTTCTGGGATTATTTAGGCACAAATATGTGAGTTGACATTAAGAGTAGACGAGAAGTTCAAACCTGACGTCTGTTTGTACAATCGCCAAACTGTCAAAACCTTACCATATCTAGAACATCACATTATTACTTAAAAACTTATGATTTTTCACGAACCTTATTTGGTTGGAAGCGACCGACTATTTTAATAAAATGTTACTGTAATAGGTGCAGTAAGATTCATGAAACGTTTCTTTTTCATTTTGTAAACGTAATTCGTTTAAGAGCTTTATATCATGTTACAAGTCCTCTTAACTTCTTTCTTTTTTGTCTCAGCAAGCACAAACTGATGTCACTGTCGTAGCCTTCCTCATTTTTCCAGCTCATACGAATAGTTTTAACGTGGATTCGTTTCGTGCCCAAGCTATTGTAAAGCAACTGCGTGAAACAGTAAATTCGATCCAATGTGAAATGGGACATAGGTTATTTGAGGTGTGTCTTCGAGGACGTATTCCTCAAGGGTCTGATCTACTTACTCAGGTATGGTTATAAATGTTCCTGCGACTTTGTAGTGTACATTTTGCTTTACAGTCATTTATTTTATGAAACTGTATAATCATCTCATATTTGTTTTTCAGGGTGATGTATTTCGCCTTAAACGTTGTATATATGCAACACAACGAAATAATTTGCCCCCTATTTGTACACACAATGTCGTTCAAGATAATATTGATCTAGTTCTGTGTAACTTACGCCGGTGTCAGTTATTTAATGACCGTCATGATCGTGTTAAGGTAAACCATTTGTTATTGTCTTTTATTCTTTAACTTTATATTTTAATTTTCGAAATATTGAAAGTCAACTGACAGGAAACCATCTTGAGATACTTTATAAGTAGTACTTTTTCAGATATAGCTACGCCTAATGAAATACTCACGGCTTTTCCCATTTTGATTACAACGGTTAGATATTCTGAAAGATCAAATGTGTACACTTGAGTTAGTTCATGTATATTTATTGACAAATCAGGAACATTGAAAGTCATCATTAAGTTCTTGATTATTGCGTTCAGAGGAAACCATTCAGAAATAAACCATCCCATTGATAACCACAGTAAACGTTTATTTTTTGAGACTCCAAAATTATTTAGGCCTTTCCCATTATATTGAATGAATATATTTTTGTTTTGTTCTATATAAGGAAAATCATTGTCATGTGACTTACCTGTTTATAAGATGTTACAAAATATTAAAGAAATCACCTATTATAACTGCTATTTCTGAATTCCGTCCTGTATGATGTGCATATATATAATTTCAGTTCTTGTGTTTTGTTTTCCAACTGATAGGTTATTTTTCATCCTGAATTCTTAAGTTCTACCAATCCACTACTACCGATGGATTATGAAGAATTTGTGCGAGGCTGTCATTTAGGTGTTTTTCCATCTTATTATGAACCATGGGGTTATACACCAGGTAATATTTGTGTTTGATTTTATTTGTCTGATATTTGCGTTTTACCAACAAATCTTAGTTTAACAGCTAGTTATTTAGTCTTTCTACTACTTTCTATAACTTGTCTACTTTTATATTAAGAATTAGTATATCTAGAATCAACTAATTAGTTATTATTCTTTCCTTCATTAGAAAATGTCTACCAGCCTGAAACCGAAATAATTATGAAAAACCAATGTTGTCAGCGTGAACTGTTCTTTGTATGAAAACTTGCAGTGTATATTTCTTGAATACAAACGTGACAATCTGTTAATGTATTGAATTGATGGAATTAAATTGAGTACAGCGAATAGCATTAACGTCATGTTTCAATCATGCTAAAAGCTCAAATAGTTATACCTTTTTATTGGTTGTTTTCATCTTTCCATTGATGTTTGAGATTGGAATTGATCAGTCTCTTTTGGTATATGCTTGTCCTTTACGAATTGCCTCGATGTCGCTATTAAGTTACAAGCATAGTAAGTTGAGGTGAATGGTGAATAACGGTCGAATCCAGGAAGCACTTTTCATCCCATTTGGAACTAGTCAGTTTGATATATCAACAAACAATACAAATAGACTGAAATTTACTCCATTACACAAGCCAGTGGCTATATGGACTTAATAGCCTCTCGCATAAAGCCACAGCGTTTGAAGTGGACGGTGTTAGGTTAGAGTCTCGGAATGAACATCAGCTCTGGGATGCAGGTACATTCACCTGTTGAGTCTTGTAGAGGACGAAGCGTGGATACTAGTTCCATTTTCAGCCATCACGCAACTTGAATAATTATGTTGGTATGAGAGGCAATGGAACTGTCCCGTATGGTGTGCTTAATGAGCTGTAGTGACGAAAGTCTCATTCGTTATTATGATACTTAAAAGTGATATGATTTGGTGCATTTTTATATAGTAATTATTCATTATTCTTCTATATTGCTTTTATTTTGTTTCATTTAAGCTGAATGCACTGTAATGGGTATTCCATCGGTAACGACAAATCTTTCTGGATTTGGCTGCTTCATAGAAGAGCATGTAGAAGATCCCAAATCGTATGGAATATACATTGTTGATCGTCGTTTCCAAAGCTGTGAAGACAGTGTTCAACAGTTAACCAAGGTATTACTCTAGGATCAAAGCTATCAAGACTGGAATTAAACTACACCTGTAGTTGGCTCTATTTCATTCTTCTATAGTTCCTTTTTGAACTCATTTTATGATCACATATAAGATTCAGCCGTTGGTTGACGCCTCAGTTGTCAAATATGACACAATTTAAAATAGAAAATATTTCTGTATTTTTATATATCTTATGGAATAAGGTGGCAGGGTAATGATTGAGAGTTATGCATCCAATAATAGATCATTTTCTGTTGATATGTTAGGATTAAACTAAAAAGTGTATTCGATGCAAATTATCTCTGCAAATAGTAATTTTTAACGAAAAACAACACTTTCAGAGGTGTTCAAAGTTATTCAGTGCTGACTGGCTTTTAATAATTGTCGGGCCAAAGTCAGCACATGATGTTAGAACTTCAAATTTAACAATCTACATAGCGCTTCGTGATAACTTTCAAGGTTGTTTGAACTTATCGTAATTTGAGAGAAAAATAGTAACGTCACATGTCATACTCTGTTGAAAAGTATTTTTTTTTACTATTTAGTTTTTCAGACTGCTTCCCTTCAAGCACCTATTATTAAATAACTGTAGCCATGTTGTTATGTCTTCAATCATTATTCGTGATTAGTATAAGATTTCTTAGTGATAAGCATATATAGACGATTTTTTCAATTGAGAATAGATAGTTTAGTTTTAAACGTAGTTGGTTGTCGTCCATCATTTAGGAAGGTTGATTTTTTTATTATAAAGTATATGAATAGAAACATATATAATAAGTGTATTTTTTTCTTCAAATGTCTTTCATTTTACACCTTATTTCTAATTTTTCTACAGTATTTGGTTGAGTTCTCTCAATATTCTCGTCGTCAACGTATTGTTTTACGAAATCGTACCGAGCGATTAAGTGAACTGTTGGATTGGAAAAATCTTTCCTGTGTAAGTGTTAAGGTTCTTCGAAGTTGTATTTCAGTCAAAGGATATTTAAAATAATAAATAACACTTATTATTTTAAAGTACTCATCTACAGTAATATAATTACTATGAATTGTTTTAATTCCTTAGGCTTAGGTTAATTTATGAACTTTGGACCCGAAGTGTAGTTCGATTGATCGAGTAGTTAACCTTAATCTAATAACTAGACCATTTTTTTATATATGCTGAACCGTTTCTCATCAAAATGTGCTACACCTATTGGTTTAAGAATGATTCGGTCTAAGGGTTTGAGGACAATAACTTTGTAATCATGTACAGATCTTTGAGGAATATTATATTTGACTAGAATTTGGAAGAGTTGCGTTTCTTAAATCTATGAACTCAAGCTCTACCTTATTAAATATAAGTTAATGTTTGTCACCATGATATAGATACATTCACTATCTAGTATTCCTATTTGAATCTCAATAGCCCTCTTCTAGTTCAGATTGTTGAAAGAAGTACAGTCAATCCTCCGACTGAATTAAAATATTTCGAATAAGTTGATGTCAAATTAACTTAACTAAAGAAACCTACTGTATCATTGAAGAAGAAGTAAAAACAGTTCAACGAAAAAAGAGTTTCTTTTTGACTATTTCAATTATATTTCTAGTTTATTTACTTAAATTGAATTTATAATAAAATAGCAGGGTACTTTTGTCATTTTGAAACAAAATTATCAACAATAATCAAAAGTTTTAAATATCAACTATGATACTTTTAGTATTGTATGTTTGAATCTTCCAATCGATGTGTTAGGACTGCAACTGGTCAGTTTCTAATTTGCATGTGTGCATACTGTGCTTATTGCCTCAATATAGCCTTAATTCACATGCATGGTAAGCAGAGATGGATAGTGGCTAGCAGTGGTACATCCAGCTGACGAGTCCCAAATAGGACGAAACACGCATCCTGGATTCCACTGCTGGCCACTATCCATCTTTGCTTACAATTATTTTAGATTGAAAATTCATTGTTAGAAATTAGTAGTATATCGTATATATTAATTTTTAATATGATATATTTCTTTGAACATTATAATATGTCATCAATCGTTGGTTTATATGAATTTGTGATTATAGTGTTGTTTAAATAATTGACTTATTCTGAATGTCATTCAGTGATATATATATTTTAATCTTTGAACGTAACACGTTTGGTCATAAGGAGGAGAGGAAGGAATTAGTTTTAATATTTTCCAATATAATATAACGTTTTTATTGATGAATTTGTTTAGTGTTAATAAACTATCCATCCATATCATGGATACTTCTTTTTGGCTAAAAAACATGAACTTTTGTGCTTGTGTTTGAGTTCTTTTTATAATGTATCAACGTGATGTCTACTTTAAAAACAGGATTTTTATTATCCTTATTATAATAAATCTATGAATCAATCTTATCGTTTGAATGTCATTAGCAAAGTTAGTATCCTATAAAATATAGCCACTTATGAAGTGTATTATAATTCATGTATGTTTTTAATTATTAGTACGTTTCATATATATCTTTTTTTCATCTAGTACTATCAACGTGCTAGATTAATGGCATTAAAGAAATTCTCTCCAGAACTATTCACATCTAACAACAATGATGATGCATTATCGACCCATAGTTTTCATATTAGTCGACCATATTCAGCACCTGTATCTCCATCACTATCTGGACAATCAACACCGTTGCGTAGTGCCGGTGCAAATAGTTCAAATCGTAGCAGTCCTACATCACATTTAGATGATGATGAAATTGATGATAACACAGAACGATTAGAACTAGGTCTTGGTGCAATAGAAATCACTGATGCTGTACCTGGTTGAGGTACAAAAGTGAAAAAAATATATCTCATCAATATTGAACTATAAACTTAGAATGTGCCTAGTTTATTGTCTTCTTTTATTTCTTCTCTTTTCATTATTTGTCATTTATTTCATTTCTTTTTCGTTCATTTCTAATTCATTTAGACTTTTGTTTTAATGTGCATATTTTATCAATCCTATAATAATGTTATAATTTATTATTATTATTATAATTATTATCCTCTATTGGTAATAGTTTAACACTGTACTAATATTTTACACTTCATTATGAATATTATTTTGACATTTTGTAAAGTCGTGATCTCATTTCTTATGTGTCAATAAGATTTAGAAAAATAGAAAACATGAATCTCATTCATTTTACAAATTTTTTATTTCATTTTATTAATTGGTTGAAAGTGTTATGATTAATAAGTTCAGTAGGTGTGATTTCTGAATACGAAAATATTTATAAAAACGATATGACGAGCCAGCATGTTGGAAATGAAGATTTGCGCGAAACGTTAGTTGTATCCTATGCTGAAACTTATGAGATAATTAAAATGAGACTATAAGAAATTTAAAGTACGAGTGTCAGAATAAAGTTAGAAATACATTTATTTTTTATGTAAAGTCGACGTCGGAATAGTTTGATAGCGTGTAATACCAAATGTAGGAAACTCGATGCTTTCTATTGATTTCATATATTGTAAACTGAACAGAAACCTTGATCTTTCAATAATAAATATTATATATATCTCAAATTATCTTTCGTACAAGTCATCCTAGTAGTTCTATCATCTTTAATATCTGAGATTTCATCATAAAGCTTAGAGTTCGAATAAGGAATGTTAGGGTCTTTCGAAAGTTATTAGATGTAGGAAGGATTTGAAAGTGACCAACTTGGTCTCGTGTGCAGTTACGCGTATGAGGGCTAATATCACTTCCCGGCTGCCCACACCTTGAAATGGTATTTCTTGAGGGACCTGAAAAATAAGTTGGATTAGTGTTGGTCTTAACGACCTAAGAGCGTGACCGCAGTGCCCAAGGGACAACTGCTTGAAGTCGGTCACATACAACCTTTTTGTGAGTAGTTTTTGTGTTAGCTCCGTTCTTCAAAGATCCTTACCGCCGGAGACGGAAATCCGTGGGATAAGGCGAGGTGTGCATTTTTAGGGTCGACTTTTTCTAACCCCACCCCTCCTTGTGGGAAGGCAGCATCGCTGTCATGCTGGTTGTCTGAAGGAAACACCTTACTGCCGCCACACCTCTGTACAGTCAATAGTACGACTTCACCTTCGGACCTTAGATTGCTGCTTTTAGTCTTACCGCTCTTTAACCGACCTGTCTGGCATGGTAGGACCTTGAGGAACGATTGTTCCAGCCAGCATAGCTCGATTGGTTTATCACGATAGGCAAGCCCGACCACCACGTCAAGGTAGCAGCAACGGGGGACAACCGAGTAAGTAATGCAGTTGTTAGGAAACGGGTACTAGGTAATGATGGCAAATCGATTGATGAAGTAGTGAAACTTCATCAGTTGAGATGGCTGGGACACATGTTACGTATCCCCAATTCCCGACTGCCCCGACGTGCAATGCTTTATGGTGTAGACGTAGGTTGGAAGAAAGCTAGGGGCGGCCAGATCAAAACGTCGCATAAATCCATGAAGTCACTGACAAGTGGACTGAGCCATGTTGGTAGGTGTAGACTACCTGGTTGGGATTCGCTAGTTGATAACAACCGATGGTTAGAGACCTTGAATGACATGGCTCAAAATCGTTTGCAATGGCGAAGGTGCATCCACCCTTTGTGTTCTATCAAATTCTAATCTTCTGAATTCCTTATGTCTCTATCTTTTTTCTCTTTCCAAATTTATTTCACTGTATTATACTTCTTGAATAACATCTTCAAACCCTAATTTTTCATATAATGCTTATACTCTTACTACTTTTACCACTATGGGATTTGAATTGACAATTTCATCTCTGTGCTAATATGGTATGGCAACTCGAACTGATGTACGTATGTACGAAGTTCTACGTTGTGACTGACTGACTGAGGGTCTTTCAAAGATGCTGAACTCAGATTCCCTGTGAAGTAGCGGCTAAGTAGTTGAGGCGTTCGACTTTGAACGACGAGGTCACATGTACGATTCCTGCTCCTCCTACTTTGGTCCGAGTTGTGTCATCAGCCTGTGATGAATAAAGAGTTTTTTTCACTGTGTTTATATTGCTCAAAATTACATACCACTTCAACTTTCATGCTAACAATCCTGATCCCATCAATCACAATTTAATTTCCAATGGGAACTTCAGCACGGTTTGTCAATGTTCCTGTATAGTTGTATTGTTATTCTCGCTTGATTGCTGATTAAACTCATCGTTTTACATTAGGAAAATTGTATAGATAGAGAAACTTGATTCTTCAAATTATACTCTCAAATTATTGTTATAATCGAAAAAGGATTATCAGTTAAAATGTTTATTTGTTTCAAAAATGTAATCTAAATGACACTATCGACAGGTTATATAATCTGACAATTTATCGATACGTGCATAGAGACAAATCATGTTGGAAATGAGTATTTTTTTTAATCTGATAAACTCTGTGATGACAGATCACTCATTTTACTGATTTAATATATTATGACACTATGGGCTCACTTGTCGTATCTATATTTAAGTTTTAGGAAGTTAGTGTTTCGATATTCAGTAAGTTACAGCATGTGATGTACTACTAATAACTTAATGCCTTTGTGTATGATCGCTAATTTAAAGGTCATTTACTATATATTTAATTTATCAAAAAACATTTGATGAAGTTAGTCATTAATGTGTCATACACTCAAAAGAATTATAGTTTGTTAGGGTTTTAAAAGAAGAAAGAGAATAAAGTGAAAATAAGGAAATATATGGTCCCTGTAATAGTATCAACTAGATTTCATTACTCCTGGGAAAACATCTTAGTGGTCTTTTATAAGAAGACTATAATAAGATCTCCATTAACATTTAATTCTCGATGCATCTATTAATGTTCCAGATCATTGGTTTGCATAATATATATCGTATCCAAAGGGTGATGTGTGAGACATTAATTACACCTGTCTGTGAAGTCACAAACATCGTATCTCCACTTTTCATTGAATACCTTCTTTGACTACCTTCTTATTATATACAGACTATCACTAGATTTTCAGAGAAAAGAATAAGCTATGGTGAAAGTGATACAAGTGGCGCCAATGCAGCCGAAACCCATGTTCACTGGTATCATGTCGGATTTCCTTTTTGCTTATCCACTTTTCATTGGTCACAGACCATTTTTATTATGACTTGTTATTTTAGTAAAGTACTTTTTCAAGACCATCTATTCATGAGAATAAATATGACCAGATAGTTTTGAGAACAGTTTCATCGAAAGGATAACGTTTTTGATGTTTTTATCCACTTCATATAGATATCAGTTTGTATATCTTTACTGCAAAAGAATTCCAACTTATTCGTTTCACTTTGGGTTATTGTGATATTTTTCATAGTCGAAATTTCCATCGTCTGCATTTTGAAAGAAAAAAAGAAATTGATTACTAGTGATCTCTTGATGGTTTTGTCCTCTCTAATCTAAACTATTTCACTGAGTTTTATTATTATTCTAGATAAAATCTTCATTCAACAGCCTTCTTGTCAAGTTATTCCGTTACATAATGGGATAGTGTGCCAAAGAAAGTGACTTCATTCTGTCAAATCATAGTAAATAGCAATACATTCAGGCAAACAAGAAAACTTGAAAGTTTGTTTTCAAAATTAAAAGGAAAGAAATTTTGAAGAAAAATCGGCCGAAATTACTCGTCAACGGTTGTATCTCTTTATTCAAGTATAATCATATGGATGAGATGGTGTATTTTATTATTTTATTTATCTCACTGTTAAATATCAAACAATAATTTCTTTGACAAAAAATTACTGACCCTATAATTAATTGAAAATGATTGGTTTATACTGGCACTATAACCAGTTTGTATTAAATGGAGCAATATAACCTGCACCACAGGAGCAAGTTATATTGGTCGAAGTACTAGGAATTTACATTTTTGTGATCGTGAACATCAAAGGTTTGGTAAAGAAAGTAAACAGCTCGATATTGGCCAAATTAGTACAAACAGGTGCCATTATACACCAATCCTTTTCAATAATTTCTTTTAAAACTTCATTATTCCTTAATTCATAACATATCTCTTATTTGCAAATGAATAACTATAAACAAACATTGTTAATAAAGTTTAAATAAAGAACAAATAGATTGGTATATTTATACAATCAGTTCTCCATTGAACGTAAAGAGATTTTGGCTACACATTGACTTTTAACTATAAACTGATGACGTTTTCTAATCTCAAACAAATTAGTTATATGACTAAATTAATTTCGTAGGATTTTAGCATTTTAAAGGAATTCTTATGGATTAGATAACATACTTATAGATTGAAGGTATACTGCGAAACATGAATATTTCATGTTTCCCATGTGCATAATTTAAGTACACTCAACTCTGAGTTCTTAGGTGGTGTGGTCTACTTATATTCACACAAGTAGTATATGGTGATGATCAGACATAGTATGTATTTTGGCAGAAGTTCGATAAGGAACGACCAGGAATGACCAGTAATGCATGAACAATGAAATCAGAGAAAACGGACTGATATTTGCAGAAGGAACAGTTGAGATTAAGACAATTGATTGTTATTTTGCAAATTAATTGTTTACTGTATGATTATCAGAATTTAGTGAGATATTCTGTAATTTGTGCTTAAATACATTCGATTGTTCCCACTCGTGTTCTTGTTCACTACAGTAGTATGAAACAAGTTTCCAATTTTTCTTAGATGATTAGTTAGTTTTTAGCTAGTTCTATACTAAATCGTTTAGTTTACATAAATTATCAATGAACTACATCGAACAATCTAAATTTTTATGTATATACATGTTTACTATACAGATTGATTAAAATGATTGCCGGTTATTGTGTTAATTACATAGTTGTATGACTGGATTTTTATCAGTCTGTATCAACTTTGAAATTGTATAAAATTGAATGATGAAAATGTAAAACATTAACCGGCAGATAATTAGGTATTTTTAATATACATAAATGAACTACAACATTAAATAATGTCAAAATTCTGCTGTAATTATGCTAAACTTATTCGACTCTTGTATTGAAAACTGATTATTGGTGACCTATATATATAGTTCATAACTGAACATTGGAATTTCAAAACATAATTTATGTTGTAAATAATTGTCAGACCATAAAGGTTAAATACATTACAGCACACAGTTAATCAACTGATCAATTGGGTAGGAAATAGTAAACGGTTGTAT